AGAGGATTTTTACGTGCTTTTATAAAAAAGTAATAGAGCCAGCTGTGATGGGGCACATCTATAATCCCAGCACTCAGGAGGCTGAGAATGGAACATCACAGTGAGTATAAGACCTTGTCTCAAAATAAAATAAAACAAGTAAAATAAAAGTAATAAAGAGATTTACTCTGGTTTTCTTGTTTTTTTTTTTTTTTGTTTTTTTTTTTCCAGTACTGGGAATCGAACTCATGACCTTGTGCTTGCCAGGTGGGCACTGTGCCGCTGAGCTAAATTCCCAGCCCCTTACTCTGGTTTTTGTTCATTTGTTTGTTTTATCTTTTAAGACAGGGTCTTGCTTTGTAGCCTAGGCTGGTCTCAACCTCAAAACAATCCTCCTGCCTCAGCCTCCTGAGTGCCACAGCCTTGTGGTGACATAAGGCTGTAAGAGATTTACTCTAACATTAGAAGTGACCCTGGAGGTAATTTTAAATCAGTTCCAGAGTTTTCAGACCATGACCAGCAGCTCCATTGTTCCAGGCTCTGGCAAGGCAGAGGGTCATGGTGGAAGGGCGAGGTGGAGGAGAAAGGCTGCTGGCTGCCAGGAAGCAGAGCACTGGGGAAAGCCCGAGAGGAAAGGACCAGATACGGTCCCCAAGGTCACACCCTCCTAATCTGGCCCTGCATCTAGGCTCTTGCTAAATTTCCTTCCCTTCCCAATAATGCCATCAAATTATGATCCATGGATGGATTAATCTACCAATGACACCAGAGCCATCATGACCCAATCACCTTCAGAAAGGTGACCCTGGAACAGAGAAAATGTCTGGGGACATTTTAGATGTGAATTATAACACTCATCAAAGCCTCTTAGTGACTCTTGACATTTTTTTTCTTTCTTTCTTTTTTTTTTTTTTTTTTTGTGACTCTTTGAAAGATGCTTGTTAGGACTTGAAATCCCTGCCTGCAAGAAGGATAATACCTAAGCACAGCCCCTCCTGCATGTCTTCCGAGGGAGACCAGTCCTGACGTCGGTGTCCTGCTTTCCAAGTCCTGCCTTTCAGTTCCATTTTCCTAAATGGAAAACATTAACATGACTCAAAAACCACAGCAACAGTCGTAAGTGGGTTCTTTTTTCTTCCACATCAGATGGGCAATGTGCTGATGTCGTAACAAGGTTGAGGGAGGCACATCTCGTGCATATGACATTAACATGCAATCGTCACACTTATGAACCAAAGGATCAGAGAAGTGGGTTCCTGCTACTGAACAAAATCTTCTGTTTAAAACAAAACTCTCCCTTAGATGAAACAGTTTATCTTTTGGTAAGGCTCTATAGATGGCAGACTTATTCCAAGGAACATTTCCTGAGAACTTTCTCAGTGTGGTTTGAGACCTCCCCTTCAAGGACTTCGGCGGAGGCATTCAGAAGGAGAACCACTGGTATACACCTATAATTCCGGTGCCTGGGGAGGCTGAGGCAGGAGGAGCACAAATTCAAGCCCAGCTCATTGACTCAATGAGACTTTGTCTCAAAAATTTAAAAAAGGGCTAGGGATGTAGTTCGGCAGAAAGGCTTTGGGTGGCTAAATTTCCTGTACCACTGCCAGACACACAGCATGGGAACCAACTGCTGCTTCTCCTTTGCTTCCACAACCCCCTCCCCTGGGTAGAGGAGGCCCTGTGTGGGGTGAGAACCTGTCCTGTTCTGCTCCTCCGCCACCTCCGTTAGGGGCTTCTGGAGGGCAGACAGCTGGTCTGCTCATTCCTGTTTACTTTCCTCACTTTCTTCTCCTACCAGCCATTTGAAATGTGATCCAGTAGTAAATCTCGGGGAGTGTATGTGGGAATAAAACTGCCCAGTTTACAGCAGTGGTCTCTTGTTGGGGCTGATTCATCTGGGAACTAAAAAAAAAAATTCTCAAGTCCTGGCCACAACGCAGACCCAGTGAAACTCCAGCGATGGCACAGCATAGGTGCATGGGTTTTTTGTTGTTGTTATTGTTGTTTTGTTTTTGCAGTGCTTGGGATTGAACCCAGAACCTCACACATGTTAAGCAAGCACTCTACCGCGAGCCACATCCCTGCATTATTGCAGCTGATGGACTTAACTGATGGAAGGATCCTGTGTGTAGACAGAATGCTCCTTTAGGATTGGTCTTTAGTTATTTTCTCCTTTTACTTGTATCCATGTAAGGGGAAGCAGACAATGGCACATGATGGGTAAAATCAAATGGGCTGGATTGAGGCAGGGGATTTCTGAATATATCCCAGGTGATGACTAAATGCAACCAAGATCCAGAACCACTTAACTAGAAGCTATCTGATATATGTAAGGGGATTAAGTGATTAATTTAACAAGGTATTGTTCCAGGAAAAATGTATAATTGTATATTTGTAAAATATATGACAGTCTTCAGAGTGTGATGAAGATTTTTGGGTTTTATTTTTGAGATAGGGCCTTGTTATGGAGCCCAGGCTGGCCTCAAATTTGTGTTGATCCTCCTGCCTCAGGCTCCCAAATGCTGGGATACAGGCATGTGCCACCATATCCTGTAGACTTGAAAAAAATTTTTCTTTTTGTCTTTTTGAGAAAGGGCTCCACTCTGCAATTCAGGCTGGCCTTGAGCTCACTTTGTAGCCCAAGCTGGCCTCGAATTCACAGTGATCCTCCTGCCTCAGCCTCCCAAGTACTGGGATTACAGGTGTGGGCCACCATGTCCGGCCTTTCTTCTTCTTCTTCTTTCTTTCTTTCTTTTCTTTTTGAGACAGGGTCTTGCCATGTAGTTCAGGCTGGGCTTAAACTCACTATGTAGCCCAGGCTGGCCTCAAACTAATTCATGGTGATGCATCTGCCTTAGCCTCCTAAGTGCTAGGATTACAGGCTTACACAGTCATACCTGATTTTTTTTTTTTTTTAAAAACCAACTCATAATCTAGTGGGAGACAGAAATATGTACCAAGTAATAGCAGGAAGTCAGCAGATTATATATATATATATATATATATATATATATATATATATGGGGGTTGTGTAGAGTCAGGGAAAGTGCTGAGTACAAAATTTGATAACAACAGCTGAAAGGAAGCCCAGGGTGGTGGAAGGAAGTGGCCATCAGAGGCGGGTGGAGGGTCACAGGATCCTGCAGTGGCCACTGTAACTTGGAAAGCAGTTCTGTGCCATCTGCAGAAGGCAGTCAGTACTTGCTCAGTCACTGGGAAGAGCATCATTAGTGGCACCTACCTGTACGGATGATGAGTGTTGGGGTAGCTGGGACAGGGAGGTATGGGAAGTGTGGGGAGAGCACTAAAGACCAACAGGTCAAACTTAAAATAGATCCATGCTGCTAAGTACATTTAGTTTGCTATCAAACTAATATTACCTTTAGAAAACTTATGATTGGAAAAGTAATTCTACTCAAACATTTGAGCCTGTTCTGCAGAGCAGATAGTCTAGATACTGAGATGTAAAGGAACATCGGTGTCTTAGTTACTTTTCTCCTCCTGGGACAAAATACCCAAGGCTCAAAGTTAAAGGGAGAAAAGCTTTATTTAGCTCATAGTTTGTAGAGGTTTCAGTCCATAATCGGCTGGCTTCAAGGCAGGGAGGCATATGGCAGAAGGGCACTAGTTCATGGGGGCAGAAGACAGCAAAAGCAGTGACAGCAAAAGGGGGAGACAAGCCTCCTTCTGCCCCTTTTATCTTATCCAGACTGCTGGGATTAGGATGGTACCAAGTGAATCACTGGACTGATCCAGCAACTGCTCACCCTTAATCCTAGCACCCTTAATCACAGCATTGTACTAGGAATCATTCACAAACTCTAAATTGAGCGGCCTCTGAAAAAGGCCCATCTAAAACTGCATGAGGCTTGGCGGGGGCGGGGCGGATATCTAGACCTAAACCATAATAATAAGTATGAGTTCTTATAATACCAGCATATAAATTAAAATAAGGGCCAGCTCTATAGCAAGAACTAGTGGGGAGGCTGAGACCTTTCCTGGGACCCTGACACAGTCTGGGCTCTCAGTTAACCACCTCCCAGGACACAGCTTGGCCTGTGCTGCAGGTGCAAGATCCTCCCTATGGAAGCTAGGAGTGGTGGCCCATGCCTGTGATGCCAGCACTTGGGAGGCTGAGGTAGAAGGATTGCTGGGAGTTCAGGACCAGCTTGGGCTACATAGTGAGTTCAAGGCCAGCCTGGACTACAGAAGCAAGACTCTGTCTCAAAAAATACAACAAAAATCCTCCCTTTGGAGGACCCCTACCGATCTCTCCAGCCCTTTTCTGCTTCTACTCTTCGCCCTGGTAAGATCGGGCATTTGCAGTTGTCTGACGCCTCCCTCTTCCTCCCAGTTAGCCCTTATCCATCCAGCAGATGTTCAGGCACCCTGCCCTGCCCCAACCTCCTGTGCAGCGCTGCCTCCATTCCGTTTGAGGTTGCTTTGGACGCGTGCTCTCGGGAGGCCAGCTGTCCTGAGTGAGGGAAGGGAACGGTCTTAGAGCGTCTGCGTGTCCTCACACCCCGCCCTGGGCCCGACGGCCTCCAGCGTCCTGTGGAGTGAGCCAGAGAGGGTGGTGAGCTACAGTGAACGCGGGGGCGAAGGAACGCAGAAGGCGGTGAGTGGCTAAGAGAGCCGAGGGCAGGAGCTGGCGAGCGGGACGGGCGGCGAGCGAGTGACTGGATGATCTGGTGGCTGAGCGCTGCCGGTGGGAGTGGGCGAGCACACAACGGGGAATCACAGCGCTGCCGGGAGCCACGTGGCTGGGACAGGCCCGGAGCGGGTGAGTGGGCGGGGCTAAGGGAGTATGGGCGTGAGAAGGCCGGGTTTGGGCGGTGTGTGGGCGGAGTGAGTCGGCGAGGGGCGTGGCCACATGTGTCTGGGCGCGAAGAGGCAGTGAATAGGCGGAGTGTGGGCGTGGCAACTGATGAATGGGCGTGACTTGGCGGGTTGTGGGCGTGGCCATCTGGCAGGCGCGGGAGGAAGTCACGTGGGCGCGCGGGCTCACATGACTGGCCGTGCGATGGACCCGCTGCCCGCCGCGGCAGTCGGGTCTGCAGCTGAGGCGGAGGCTGACGAGGAGGCGGAACCCCCAGCGACAGGTACGGCAGTGGAGGGCGCCAGCCCGGTCCTCGGAGCGCTGTCTCGGCGCAGCCGTTCGGATCCCTTCTCGCCCGCGCCCCGGGGCCACCTGTGCGGGGCCACCTGGCCCGCTCGAGCCGGCGCCGGCCCCCGCCCGGTCTAGCGAGCGGTGTCGCTTGGGTCCCCGGTTCCCGGGACAGCGACGCTCGCGGTTCGCAGCGCTCGGGTTGCTGCGCGGCCGGGGTGAGGGCTCGCGGGAACCTGCAGGTGAGCGCCGGCCTCCTCCCCGGTGCCAGGCTGACGCGCTCACAGGGTGCGCTGCCCAGGCCCTCCCCGTGGTGGCGAAGTAAGTGGCAGTGTGAAGTGCGAGGTTGGGGCTGGAGGTGAGAGCAGGTGAGTTCCGGAGGTTTGGGAGACAGGTTCTTCCCTGAGAGGAAAGGCGGGAGTGTGGCAGTGAGACCGGGGAGGGAGGGCTTTAGTCAGTGCTGCGGAGCTCCAAGTATGTGCAGACCGGTCCTCCAGAATGGGTCTTTATTTTTTCCTGTCACTTGTATCTGCGCAAGGGGAAGCATGTGACAGCCCTTTCTGGGTAGAACATTGTGTTCAAGAGGTCACGTGCTGGAGCTCAGCGTGGGCCCACCTATGCCAGAGCCCCAGGCTGGAGTCCTTCCCCCAAGTGACTTGGGAGTGGAGGCTGTGAGGGGGCCAGAATGTTGATCCCGCCTGGCTTGTCAAGCAGTTCAGAGTGGACCGAAGTGGTTGTAGTTCAGGGATGTCTTTTAGGCACTGCCATACAGCACTCACCTAGTGGCTGCAGTTAGGGTGTGATTTATGGACAGTCCAGTCCTGTACACCCCCCCACCAACATTCCCCAGCTGCTCTCCCTGCGGCTTTGCCTGGAATTCCCACAGGTTGTTGGCTTTCCTTGGAGGCAGTGGTGATTTTTATCAGGAGTGCTAATTTTGTCCACTGCCAGGAGGCATGCCACAACCCCAGGCTTCCAAATTCTCAGAGTATTCCTACAGCCCTGTGAGTCTAAAAGTGGGGTTTCTAAAAGTGTCATTTCATTCTTTTGGAAACTGGATACCCATCTTAGCAGGGAGGTGAAATGGAAAACAAACCTTTTTTGTTTTGGGAAAATTAACTTATATGGAGGTGTGTGACTATTCCAAAGTGGGCACTGTGGGGACTGTGACTCTGGGGGACCGTGGTTGGGTGGGCTTGGGTCAGAAAGCCTGGGACTTTGGTAATGAATTTGGCCCAGAGACAAAATGCCTCACACTTTTTCAAAGCTGATTTTGAGTTCTCAAAAGAGTAGTGGCTTTAGGGTGTATAATGAATTTCTTCCTCTTATTTGTCTTCTGGCTGCACACCCAGATCTGCCTGTACTGTGGTGTCTCTGCCTTTGTGGTAACTTTGGGTTTACCAGAAAGAATTGTCCTGCTTGTGCTTTTCATCATTCAGTCTCATTCTTTTCTGATTATTTGAAACTTGGATTGCGAATGCTCAAGTAATTCTCTTTGTAAAAAGTTTCAGCTGAGTATCATAGTACAAGCCTGTGATCCCAGCACTCTGGGAGGCTGAGGCAAGAGGATCAAAAGTTCAGGTACAGCCTGGACGAGTTAGTGACTTAATGAGACCCTGTCTCAAAAAATAAAACAAAGCCGACTGTAGATGTAGCCCAATATGAAGGCCCTCAATTCAATTCCCAGTACTACAAAGAAGAAGAAAAGCAAAAACAAAACCCCTTAACTTTCATTTATGCCATGATTTTTTGTTTGTTTTTTTGAGACAGGTCTCTCTATGTAGTTCAGACTGGCCTTGAACTCACTATGTAGCTTAGGGTGGGCTCAAACTCACATAAATCCTTCTGCCTCAGTTTCCTGAGAGATGGGATTACAGGCATGTGCTGCCATGCCTGGCTTTAGTTATGCTGTAATTATGCTATATGGGTGGATACAAGTTTTTTTTTTAAAGACAGGGTCTTCTTATGTAGCTCTGACTGGCCTCCAACTCACTATACCCACGCTAGCCTAAAACTCATGTTCCTGTTGGGTGTGGTAGTGCACACCTGTAATCCCAGTATAGGAGGCTGAACTAAAGGATTGCCGAGAGTTTTGAGACCAGCCTGAGTTAGATACGGAGTTTAAGACCAGCTTGAATTACATAGTGAGACCCTGTCTTAAAAAAACCAGAACAAATCAAATATAACAAAACCCCCCAAATGCCAGGCGTGGTGGTGCACTCCTGTAATCCCAGCACTTGGGAGGCTGAGGCAGAAGGATCGTTGCGAGTTTGAGACCAGCCTGGGCTACAAAGTGAGCGCAAGGCCAGCCCGAACTGCATAGGGAGACCCTGTCTCGAAAAGACAAAAAGACCCAAAACAAAACAAAACCCCCCAAAATTTTATTTTATTTTATTTTATTTTTTTGGTTTTTTTCCGGTACCAGGAATTGAACTCACAACCTTGTGCTTGCCAGGAAAACCCCCCAAAATAACAGTGGTAACAACAACAACAAATTTGTGTTCCTCTTGATTCAGCCTCCTGAGGTCTGGAATTACAAGCTTGTGCCACCATCCCTGGCTGGGATATATTTTCTTTTTCAGTTTTTAATTTTTATTAGTACATGTTTGAATTACATACGGATTACAGTCCTTGTGGGGAGCTGATACATGTACATAATACATCTCAACTCTTTTTTCAGCCCTTCCCCTCCCTCTCCTCGACTCTCCCTACTTCCTATTATCTTTTATTTTAGTCTTTATTTATATTTTGGGTTTCTCATATTTAAGTTTGTGTATTGGAGATGTTTCTTTAAATGTAGAACATTATATATTTAGTAAAAATCCCATTCCAGTTGCAGTCAACTCAGCTTTTTAACAGAGGGATGACCAGAGTTGTCAGTTTAGGATGGCTTCTTTCAGTTCTGTATTTATATTTTATGCTGGGGTATACTTAGAAATGTAAGGTTCTTGTGTATATGTGCCTTGCCTCTCTAGGGTACTGTATTTATTTTCATTGCTCCTACAACAAGTTACCACAAAATTAGTAGCTTAATACAAAGATATCATCTCACAGTTCTAGATGTAGGTGATCCAAAGTAAGTTTCACTGGGCTAAAACCAGGGTGGTGGCAGCCTGTGGCCTTTCTGGAGGCTCTGGTGGGAAGCTGTGCCCTGGCCTTTTTAGCTTCTAGCGGATGTCTGCATTTCTTAGCTGCTGCTCCCCTTTCTTCAGCAGTACTGGGCATATCTTTGTCGTGCTGCCTTCTGTCTGGTTTTCCTCCTGTTTATTTATTCTACTTTATTGTGGCAGTACTGGGGATTGAACCTGAGCTTTCATACTGAGCTATATCTAGACGCTATGTCTAGGGCTATATCCAGCACCTCCCTTTAAATTTTGAGATAAAGTCTCACTAAATTGCCTGGGGTGGGCTTGAACTTTCTATTCATCTGCCTCAGCCTCTGGAGTAGCTGGAACTATAGGCTATGCCAGTGAGCCTGGCTACTTTTTCTGCTTTTAAGGATCCTAGTGATTATGTTAGGCCCACCCAGATTATCCAGAGTAATTTCCCTCTTTTCGGGTCAGCTGAGTAGCAACCTTGTTTCCCTGCCAGGTGAATTCCCCTTTACGTAGTCACAGGTTCTGGAGGTCAGTATGTGGACATCTTTGGAGTCTGTTACTTTGCCTACCACTGGGAGATACCCTAGGAGTGGAATTGCTGGGTAATAGAGACTATACAATTTTAATAAATAAAATTCTGCCAGGTATGGTGGCACATACCTGTAATCTCAGCACTCGGGAGGCTGAGGCAGGAGGATGGCTGCAAGCTCAAGCCCAGGCTGGGCTACAAAGTGTGTTCAAGGCCAGCCTAAACTGCATAGTAAAACCCTGTCTCAAAAAGACAAAAAATCCAAAAAAACCCCAAGAACCTGACAATTTATCTTGTATGGTAGCTCTTAGCAGTATATACCTCTAGCAGCAATGTATTAAAAGGATCCTTTCCTCCTAACCTCATCAATATTATGGATCATTTGTAAAAATTCCTTTCAGACTTAGAAAAATTAGGAGAGTATTTCATTTTTATTATTTACATTTTCTTGATTAGGATTGAGGTTTGGTATGTTTCTAGTAATATTTCCTCCTGGTATGGCCTCTGTAATTTGACTGTTTATGTCTTTTGTCCATTTTCTTGTATACCTTTTTTTTCTTGATTTGTAGCAGTTTTTTAGTATTTTGTAATTTTATATTGAAACTATAGCTATCAGTATATCTGAATGAAGCCTATAATCTCATGGACTGTGGAGGTTGAGGTAGGAAGATCATAAATTCAAGGCTGCCTCTGACAGTTTAGAGACTCTGGCTATAAATAAAAACTACAAAAGGCTAGGAGTAGAGCCCTGTGGTAGAGTGCTTGCTTTGAAAGCACAGGTGCCATGGTTCACATGCCCAGCACTGAAAAAACTCTATCATCTATATGTGGCTGTCTCTATCTGTATCTCTGTCTCTATCTCTGTCTCTACACAATGACCAGAGCTTTCTGTTCTTTGACAAAGTGGCTGGGAATTCATTTCGGAGCTGTTCTGAGGTCAGTGATCATGATTTAGAATGGGAATGGTGGGCTGGGGGTATACTCAGTGGCTTTAAGTGCTTACCTGGCACGCCTGAGGTCATGATTTCGATTCCGGTACCAGAAAAAAAAAAAAAATGTCCTTCGAATGGGAATGGAAAGAAATGAGTATGGCATGTGTGCTGGCTCATCTAACCTGACCCTTCAGGAGTGAGCAGTGCAGAAGTAAGAATACGTGCACGTCAGCACTGTGGGTTCGCCTTGCTTCCTATACCCGCTGGCTGTAAGCTGAGTCAGGAGAGCCGGGGACTCAGGCCTCACTGTGGTCTTGGGCTCCTTCCCCTGGCGTTCCATGCATTCCATTCTGCTGGATGCTCTGAGTCAGGTCCCAGGGCCTTGGCTGTCACCGAGCTCCTCCTGGTCTTCCTGCTGTAGTCTGTTGCCTTTTCT